AAGAATGGAAATTACTTCCTTTCTTAGTGGAAATAACCACCAAAGACTCCATCTTTCCAGTAATCTCTATCAGTCTCATGGGCTTTCACAGAAGAAAACAAGCTATTAAACACAAAAACATTATTGTTTTTCACTTAAGTCTAAATTCTGTGAATGTCAATTTGGACCTTTTAGCCAGATTTTTCTCTGGAGCAAGCTAGTAAAAGTTTTACAAAGCTGTACTTGTAGTCTTTTGGGGTTTGTTTATTAATTGAGAATCTGTGAAGAGCATCTGTTGCTCTGTGTCCACAACATCATCTCAGCCTCATTTGGTGAACAATTCTGCTGGCTTAAGAACATCTTTAAAGCTCACAAGAAGCAGTTAGGACAACAACTGTAGTTGGATTTGTAATCTGGAGGATCTCTCTGTCTTACTTCCCACTGTTCTGTCAGACTGAAACTAAAGGAAGGGAGAAGAGGAAAAATCACATTTATCTTCTCCTTATGAACTGATGTGGTGAAAAGGGATGTACTGCTTAAGCTGCTGCCTGGCAGAAGGATGCATAGAGTTCCCAGTGTTGAGTCTAGCAGGGACTCGGTTCATGGCTTGCTGGCTGGTGGTGGCTGGTTGTCTCTTCTTACTGGGGCGAAACCAGTTGCCCTAGGCACTGCTCAAACATCAAGCAAGAGGACCAAGTTTGCTCTGAAGAGCAAACCAATACTCAATAAGCTTGAAAAATTTTTACCTTGCAAGTTTTTGGAACAATGCCACCTCACTTTGGGAATTTGCTGCTGCCTTAATTAGAAAGGATTATTTGACACAACTGGAAAGTGCCTCTGAGGCTGGAGACCTCAGATCACTAAATCAGCCTGATGTTTGTTGATGAAGAGTGCATCATCTTGTGTGCAAAATCTCACAAAACACTGCACTGAGGATTGGAGAACTGAACAGCAGTAAGGCTGGACAGTAGTAGGCTTCAGAGCCTTTTGCGTGGGTTGGCACTCACTGTCTGTGTAGTGAGTTTGGCTTTCTGTGACCAGCTGACCTTAGTTCTTTAATTATGAACAATTACACCTGCAGTGTTAGTAGTGTGGGTTGCTTGAGTCGAGTGGAGTTGAATGCCTTCTGTGTGCTTGTTGAAACAGCTGAACTCAAGGCAGACGTTCGTGTTTACCCATGTTCGGGCACCATGAGAATGCTTAGTGGTAAGCACAGCACATACTGATCAGGGTAGCCCTGTTGTAATCAGGGCCAGGGTGTGAGCTGTGTCTGCAAGAAAGTATTTGTGCTTTTGGGGTTGTGGAGTAGCAATTTTGCTGTAATCCCCCATGAAGGACGACCCTCTGGGGTGCCTGAGACCTTCCACACTTCACTTCTCACTACTGATGTGGCATATAGAGTTAGTCCCTGTTGCCCAATTTGTGTAACAGTTCCCTTTAGGGCTGGATTATGGAATGGATCAGTGATAAATCTCACATTAAAGAACGAGTTACAAAGGAGAAATCTGGGGTGGAAGAAAGCATTTGAGATTAGGGTAATGCTGCCCATTCAGCAGTGCTGTAGGCTAGCTGACAGCTGAATGAACGTGTGTTGGCAGCTCCTCCGAAGGCATCTTTCTTTCTACTGCTGTTAACGATGGGATTTTCCCGGATTAGAGGAAAGAGCAAACAAGAACCTGGTGTTCTCTCTCTTCTGTGCTTTCTCAGTTTGAAATCCCACTTTGTTATGAGAGAGCTGAGGGATGCTTTTTCATTAGAGCAGTTACCTCCTCGTTCCCTGTCATGAATACTGAGGTATCTCATGATCATGCAGAATTTTAGGCTGCCATCAGTGCTCTTGATTTGTATGTTCATCCTATCCCAGAACTAGATTATTATTCTTCTCAAATGTACTTTATGTGTGTGGCCATGAAGATATCCCAAAACCTCATCTCGTGTCCCTTGGCTAAAGCAATAAAACTAAATTCAATGATGACTACTTAATGAATGAACCTTTATTTATTTTGGAGTTTAATTTCAAAGGATATGTGTTACACAGGGCTCTAAAATATAAAATTATCCATGCAAATATAATCCCAGTGTAATTCTATTGATCTAATTTAGATTTCTTCTTTGTGTAAAGACTGCTCTGTCACCTCCTACCACTTCCCAAATGTCTGTGGTTTGATGGAGCTGAGGCATTACAGAAAGATGCCTTTAACAATAGAGTCAGTGGCTTGATGGGATGAAGGTTATTGCAGGCACAGGGATGTGGCACAGGAAATGTAACGGGTTAACTATCAGAAAGGAGGCCATTGCCTTGCCAAGGGTAAACTGATAAACCTTAGCATGTAGAGAGAAAGATGTCTAAATCCTGGAACTATCACTTGGGGTAAGGAAACACATGTTACAGTCACAGAAGGCATTTATAATCATTACTTTTCAGAAGAAATTCCTTCACTAGATTACTGGCAAATTGTAATTTTATGGTAATGACAAATTGCAGATGTATTCTCCAAAATCCTGGAAAACACTTAGCTGGAATGGGGAAAATTTGCTGATTAATATCTTTCAGCATGTTACTCCTGTTTAGAAATTCAGTGTCCCACAGGATTAGTTCTAGGACCTGTGCTATTCACAGCAATCAAAAAAAAACAATCCAGGCACAACAGTGGCCTCAGCATTGGTTATTTCTTGGATGAAGCAGATAAGGAAGGGCATGGTCAACCCCACAGACGTGTCTGCAGAGTGAGTGCTCATGGGCAGCCAGTAGTAAGAGAACAAAAGACATTCTGTTGCTCTCTAACTGCTAGAATGGGCAGGTTTTTTCCCTTCTTTAAAAGGACAGAGAGGAATTTGAAAAGAAATAGAGAAAGATAATGAAAGGCATAAAATGTGTTTGGCATGAGGAGAGAGAGTAAATAGAATAGCATTTTTCAGTTCCAGAAGAGGTGTCAGACAGTAGGGACGATAAAGGTCTACAATATCACTGAGAAGGTGGAAAAGGTGACCGGAGAGTGATTATTCACCATTTCTCACGGTAGAGGAACTGAGAGGAGTCAAAAGAAATTATCAAGCAGCAAATTTAAAATGAGCAAGAAATACTTTGTTCACATGATAAACATAGATCGTGGATCTGAACACCGCTGAGTATTGTGGAGTTATAAATGAGATCAAGAATTCACAGAAGATAGGTCTCTCAAAGGTTATTTTAAAAATGAGATGTGGATGCAACTTCTTGCTGTGGAATTTTCTAAGCTGTAATGCTGACAGCTGCCTCATTTTGTACTATGGCCCTAAACTTCTGGTATCTGCCAAAGATAGGAGAACAAGGCTAGATTAACCCATGATGGTCTAACGATATCTGGCCCACAATGTCTTTTCCATGTTCTCATGTACCATAGGTTGTGGTATTCCAAAATATGTTGTTGCTTTTGTTGGTTTTGGCTGTGTCTAGACAGATTTCTTTGGAAGGTTTCAGGTCTGTCCTGGTGTGTAACTGAGCTCCACAGATCAAGTGACAAAGTTTGCATCTCGGCACACATGAAAAATATTCGCGTGAGAACCAGTACTCTGGCATGAGTCCTGCATTCCTTCTTTTTGTATCCACAGTAAACTACTGATGACTTTCAGAAGGTGGAATAGAGCAGGTGTATAGATATATATTCCTTAGAAGAAAAAGTGTTGGAGGACATTAAGTAAATGTATCTGAATTAAAGCTATTCAAAATGCTTTCATTCCTTCATTCTGTGAGGGACAAGCCAGCGGCTAGCTGTGGGCGTGGGCTGCTGTGTGCAGTCCTGGACAGTCATGCTCCAGGGTTGGCGTGCTCTCCGCTCTGCCCATGTGCCAGACAGCACGGACACAGCTGTCTGCAGAGACTCTCCATGCAGGACTTCTGTTTCTGCCTCAGAAAGGCCTGATGTCCTGAAATCTTGGACAAACAAGCTGTGCTGGGTGATGCTGAAAAGGAAAAGGGATCCAAAATGTTCTTTATGTCACTTGTCTGTCATTAAGTCCACAACTGTAAAAAGTGCTCTGCCACTAGGATACAAGAGAAATTGTCTTGGCAAGTGCAGTGATTCCGGAGGCTTATTAGTCTGCTTAGTGCTTAGGAGTAGTTGGAAGCTGTGCTCCGGTTATTATTATAATTGAGTCATTTAGTTTTCCTTCCTTTCAGCCAGAGTGTGTGTGTAGCTGGGGTTCTGATTTCAGACTGTCATGTCAATGTGATTACCATTTTAGCTACACCTTTTCTACTCTCACACTGTCTGTTGTTCCAGTTTTTAGCCCTGTATTCAAAATAGAGTGATAGGAATCAGGCAGATGAGTGCTGCAGCCTTTTCATTTGACTTTGTAATTGCCTTCTCTAAGAATTCAAGCAAGACTGCCTCTGTGGTGCTTCTCAGTTTCATACTGCTTTGTGAATGAAATGCCTAGGCAGGCAGAGCTTGCAGAGGTCACTGCTTGCACTGAGGCAGTCAATAAGGACTCACAGAGCCAGAAGCTTTTCTTCCATGTGTCTCTGATGCCATGACAAAAGTGGCCATTTTTCTATCAGGATTATTTTAATTTCTTACTTTAAGAAACTTGCTTTTAAATGTTCATAGCTGTAATTCTTTTGCATTTTGATTATTTTCATCTTTTAAATTTGCTCCTATCTCTACCCTATGTCAGTGACCCCAAACTAGCAGGCATGGAGTGGCCAGCTGGAACAGAGCGGGGTAATGCCTGTCTTCTCTACACCCACAAATCTCAAAGCTAGAAAGAGAACTTGATAAAGAAGTTCCACTGCATTTGCTGTGTCAGCTGTGCAGCACAGCAAAGCTGCAGCTGATCCCAGCAGAGGGTGTTTATGCCCTGGAGCTGCACTACCAGGAGTGTTGTTACTCGAGTTTTTCCCTTCCATCTGGGAGTATTAACTTCTTTTGAACAGTTTTAGGCAGTAGGCTGAATGCATGCAGGACCTACATCATCTCTGCTGTCTCTTTGGAGCCCTGTCCATCCAGGTAACACTCTCTTTTTTGGTCTTGTTCTTTTAGGGATATCTATGCCCATTCCAGTCATTGGTTTGCAGGATGACTCCAGGGTGTTCATAAATGGGACCTGTGTCCTCAACGATGAGAACTTCGTCCTCATTGGGTCCTTCATGGCGTTCTTCATCCCTCTCATCATCATGGTGATCACGTATTGCCTGACTGTCCAGGTGCTGCAAAGGCAGGCAACGGTGTTCATGTGTGGAGAGGTGCCCAAGCAGAGGAGGAGCAGTGTAAACTGCCTCAAGAAGGAAAACAACACAGAAAACATTTCAATGCTTCACAATCATGAGGGGGCATCTCACTTGAACTCTCCTGTAAATAAGGAGGCAGTGCTTTTTCGGAAAGGAACTATGCAGTCCATCAACAACGAGCGAAGAGCCTCCAAGGTCCTGGGCATCGTCTTCTTTTTGTTCCTCATCATGTGGTGCCCATTTTTCATCACTAATGTCATGTCTGTGCTCTGCAAGGAAGCCTGCGATAAAGACCTCTTGAGTGAACTCCTTGATGTGTTTGTTTGGGTGGGGTATGTTTGCTCTGGGATTAATCCCCTCGTATACACACTCTTCAATAAAACGTACCGCAGGGCTTTTTCCAATTACATCCGTTGCCAATACAAGACCAGTAAAAAATCAGCACTGCGGCAGAATCAGTGTCTGAATGTTGCTTCAACAGCTTTATATGGGAAAGATCTGACTTTAACTAGTTATCGAAATGGCAATGAATTCAATAGCATGGAACTAGATGAAGCTGAGGAGGGCCTTGAAATGCAACCAGGGACTTCAGAGCTCTCCATAAACAGCTGTAATGTTGTAAGCGAAAGAGTGAGCTGTGTGTAAAGGTGGCTCACACAGCCTTTTGCTACGGTGTATCTGTAGCCAAAATATGTTGTGTAAAAATGTAAGTGTTGGTCAAAGGACAATGTAAATATTGCATTCTGAACAAAGCTTTTTTTTTTATGAAAAAAGTTGTCTTTCCAGTCCAGTACTTAAAATCATATATATTAATATACTTCAGTGAAGTTTAAGGTTCTATATTTACTGTTAATACTAGATCAGAACTATTAGTTACTTTGCATATGTCATGGACAAAATGTTTGAATTCTTCTTCCAGTGCATGAACAAAAATGCTGAATATTTATCTCAGGTGGCATTTGCTGGAGTCCAGAATGGCACGTTAATAGTTATATATCAAATACATGCTATTAGACTTGGTCAGTATAACTTTCTTTTTCAAGTTGACAGTAAATATATACTTTAAATCCTCACCCCTATTTGTGCCGTGTAAAGATTGTACAGAAACCTGGCAGAGAGACATCATGAAAGTGTGGCGGCTGTGCAGGCACCTGGCCAGACACGTCCTGTCACGGGCAGTGGCTCGCTGCCATACTGGGGCAAACTTGCTCTTCAAGGGACCTCAGTTAAATTTTGACTCCCTTGCCAATCCTGTGGTTTTCTTCCCATTCCCCAGGAGGCTTCAGCTCCCCTAAGGAAGGTAGGGAATGCAGATCTGCTGTGGCTTTGTCATCCTGGCTGGGATCACTTGCACACTTGGAGAAGAAACATGAGAAACAGAAGGAACACCCGTTATCTGCTTCAACCATTTTATAAATGGAGGGCCTCAGATTTATAAAAAGTGCTCCTTTGCTCTTGTAGGTAATCATCAGCTCTGGGGTGGAGCAAGCCGTGCTCAGTGTGGATGGCACTGCCTTCACAGACTGCTTGGATGATCAGGGTCTTTGGTTGACCTGGAGAAGAGCGCTCTGGCTTTGTAAGAGCTCTTGACTTCTCGGTCCCTGTCTATTATTTAATCCTTAGCTTGTTTAGCATTTATTTTTATTTTTCAGCATCCTGGGACATGCAGTGCTGGTGATGAAGCACTGCTTTGGGTGTAGAGCAGAAGCTGCTGCGTGTGTGGTGCTGGTTGGGGTCAGGCTGGGAGATGCAGGATACTGGGAGAGGGGCATAAATGAGGGTCCCTGCTCGTTTCTCCTATCTCAGGAGGGGGTGGGCAGAGCCGGACAGAGTATCTGACTGGAATCATTTGCTGGTGACACGGTTCAAAAGCAAATGATGACAGAAAGGAAGCAGACCTGGAGGTAGTCTATGTGGAAGATTAGTCTGGATTAATTTTAACATTTGATTTATTCCATTTCACTCCGAAGTAAATTATAGTATATCCTATTAACACCACTTACATCTCAATGAAAGCATCCATATTGGGATTTAATGCAGTTTAAGTAATCTGCTTTTAATTCACACCATGTATAATTTGAATCCATTTTCCACTGTGTTCCTGTGTAGACAAGTCTTCCAAGGCATTGTGTCTTTCTGGCACTGTGCCTCTGGGTTGATGCCTCTCATTCATTTCCTTATGTAGGGTATGGTCTAATGCCAGATATCACCCATAAGGTTTTTTTCATCTTCAGTAACTAACACACAAATGCTGCGGTGCCATCTAACATGGATGCATCGCTGACAGCCTCTGGCTATAAAAATCCTCAGAACAGAAAAGCATGGCATGGATAAATTGCATTTTACTAACACAAACTGATTATATTTAAATTTGCTGTGTTCATCCCACCAAAATTAACTTGTAAAAGAAATGGAAAATTCTGCTAGTGTTAGTGTAACATTGTGCTGTTGTATTGCTGGGTACAGCAACAACCTTGTTGAGGCCACTACCAAAACACAACATACGGGTTGCATCTGCTGCTGGGTTGCTCCCAGCTTGATGCGTTGAAGGTGATGGTCCTCTCTTCTCCCTCATCCTCTCCTAAAAGAAATCCATAGTACTTCGATGCAGGCAGGCAAGGTATCCCAGTGCAGAGCTGAGCTTACTGCTTGCAGAAGGCAGCAGAGATGCACCATGTGCCAGCCTGCTGATACTGCCATGGGTTTGAACGCTTGGGAATCCACTTGCTTCTCCAGAAGGTCTGGTAATCAGTAGGAAAAAGACTGGCCAGAGACACAAACTTGTGCCTTCAGTGAGTCAGATTTGATTGTCTCAAACAGTACAGAAAAAATCAGAAAGAGTACATTGCTTTTTAAGTTCTTTTTTTCCTTTGGTGATTTCATACCATATGTATATGTTTGTGTATAAATGCGTGTGAGTGTGTACATATATATATATACATATATATATATTTTAAAGCCAACCACAGACTTTGAAAGCATTTAGCAATAAGTTGAATTACAGTAGCTTCTAGCACGTGTGAATGGGTCATGTGTGAATAGCTCGTTTTTCACAGCATCCTTGAACTTGGTATAAGTCCACACACAGGCATTGTCTTTGCATAGGAGCATTCATGACTTACCCTTGCCAGTTCTGTTGTATGGGCAAAAAGGGAACCTACTATATTTGGATGTAAATAATGGGAATTGAACAGAGAATTTACAGAATTTTTATAAATGTTTTTAAAAAATTCAACACCAGAACTGTAAATATGTCGACCGTGGCTACTCAGCTGGACCCGTTCTGATGTATGTCACTTGTTTAGATAAACAGACAAGGGGACTGCCTTACAGCGCCTGCGTTCTCTCCTGGCCAGCGGGTGATAACATTTTTGTGAATGGTTAAATACTGTCACTTACCCAATTTCCTTTGGGTCATTCACATCAGGGTTTTGTGATGCTGCTATTAATTTATTAAAGAAAGTTTGTTGGTTTAATCACTCTTAATTTTTTTTCATGGACTATCAGAAAATAAATAAATGAACATGCCCTCTCTTTCTTTCATCTGTCCCCAATTAAAATCTTTCCTAAGTGAATGAAAAATATGTCCTGACCAAAACAATAAAAAAAAAAGATGAGGATAACTTTCATTTCTCCTCCCACACTTGAAGTATGGCCCACAGTTACTTAATCATAGAAACTAGTGTCAGCAGATATCCCAAGGCTTTCAACCCCAAAACTTGTTAAATACAAAGGTGGTGGTAAACTATTCCCCCTCTTCTCCTTGCTCCTTCTAGGAAGAACTGTTAAAAATGACATTTTTACAATTGCCTCAATTTGAAGAATGGATTTAGTTCTCTGCAACTTAACCAAAGTCAGGTTGTCCCCACAGCAGCTTTGCTTCTCCTGAACTGTAGTCATTAACCATGGTGGTGCCTCAAGAAGCCCTGCCCTGGTGCTGCCTGGTGGGAGTACCCAATGGAAGGTTTGTCTGAGTCCTCAAACCTCAGCTCAGGTATGGTTTTGTCTTACAAATAATGTGTGTGGTGGTGTTTTGTGTTTGGACCAAACAAGTGAAAACAGTTCCTTGGAAATGGTGCTGCAGGCTGAAGCATGTTGGTTGCTTTGTTTCCCAAACCAGATGGGAGATGTGCAGGCGGGCTGCCTGCGAGGCTGACCCTGCACGTAGGAGGGTCCAACCCGGCAAACAGACCACTCATTTGCATCAGGGAATCCACTCGTGGGGTCAGCCCCTCAACTAGCACCTTCCTGAGGTGTAGGGGCTTGCAGCCTTCCCCAGCAGGGGCCAGCAGCAAGGCTGGCCACACTTGCTCGGGCCCAAAACCTTGTGGCTGAGCAACGTGGTTTTCAGACCTGAGCTGGCTCGTCTATACCTGTGACATGTTGCCACACACAGCCAAGTCTGGGGTGTAACATCCATGGAGTCAGAGGTGGTGGCTTTGGGGACGGACCTCTGAGGCCCTCCGAGGGCCTGCTCCTTCAGTCCTGTTCTCACGGAAGGTAGGAGCAGCTACCCAGAGGCTGTGGCATTTTGGAGGTGATACAGTTCAGAGCCAATGCCGAGGAGCCTCAAGGCATCCCACCCTAGCATCACTCTCCTTTTTTTAATTACTTCAGAGTCAGCAATAGTTTTTATCTCAGTGATAATTTAAAGATGCTAATGTTAGGTGATGAATGGGTAGTCAATATGAACAGTGTGGTTAGTGGTTTTTTCTCAATAGAGATGCTCATGTCAACCATCAGTGGCTTTTCTTTTGGACAACCCTATAACCCCCGTCCATCACTGGCGGGGAATGATGCCAGTGCTCTTCCTTTCCAAGTCAGCAGGCTGACCGTAGTCATCTGATGTGCTGGAGCCACAAAGGCTCTGGATATGGAGACCCAAATTCCAAAGGAAAACCATTTTAAAGAAAAAGAGCAAACCATAAGCCATCTCTTCAGAAATATTGTTTAGTTTTGATCTAATGAAGGGTGTCTGAGGTACTTACAGACAAATTATGCTAATCTGGCATTCCAAAAGCAGCATCCGTCATGTGATAAAGATGCAGATGTCTCTTGGATGGGATTCCTCCCTGGGTCATGTTATCATGAGGATAGCTACATGCTAAGCCAAGAACCGCACTTGGTTTTGTCTCCATTTCAGACTGGGGCGGAAAAACCATCGGAAACTTCTTCCTGGGAAACAGCATACAAAGACCACGAAGCCTTGGGCAGGTGCAGCAGAAGAACAGAGATGGACAGATGCACGCACACATCTCCACACATGAACACACACATCCCAGAGCCCCCAGAAAGCAACAGGAGATGTCATCACGCTTCAGTCTTCCCTTGAAAAAACGGGGAATAGCTGAACAGCTGGGGAGGAAACCTGTGATGGGGAGATCAAATGCAGCTGTAGGTGTCACTGTGAAATGTGGGCTGTTCTAGTGATAATGTAGTGGTGGGAGTGCATATACCAAAAAGTGCTTTTATGTTTTCATTTTTAACTATGAAGTTGTTGCTGACTATTCTGCGTCTCCCTCATTTTTCTTCAAGTCTCAGGTCTTCTGCTTGTTTGCTTTTACCCATACTGAAAGTTGTGCCCTGAAGCTGTCAGAAGTCAACAAAATATCTGTGATGTGTCTTTCCCTCTCGGCTGTACAGGGATGCTGCAATCCCATAACAATATGGAGATGGAGAGTCTTCAGGTGAGTGATTTTAGATATCTACGAGACAGATAATCAATGCAGCAAGATGTGCTTGCCAATTAAAGAACCACACCAGAAGATCTTTAATGAACAGTCAAGTGCATGAGCTACACATTAAAAAATTTTGCTTAAAACTGTCCTAATCATAGGTTCTGCTGATGGTAGGAGGGTGTGTTGGTATGTGGGGAGGGAGCCTGGCAGTGCCAGGTGCCCTGAGCTGGGTGCTGCTCTGGGCAGCCCTCCTGCACGCTCCCTCCGAGAGGGTGCTTGTTCGCCAGCCCAGCACAGCCTTCCCTGGCACATCACCCTGTGGGATTTACTCCGATCTGTGCTGAGCAGTGCGCCTGCAGAAAGGGTTGCAAAATCCTGGCCTCCCGGGCCACAACTTCAAAGGTTTGGGGAGGAGCCTAACAAGTGGGTAAGTGTCTAATGGTGACACAAGTCCAAGAACTCTGATTGGTCTCAGGTGGTGAAAGCAAAAGAATTATACAGACTGCTCACAGCAGCCAAGGGGTAAAAAATTATTGTGGGAAATTGAGACTGTGAAGCAATCCTTGTTATGTATTACATCTCTCCTGAATGTTGCCTTGTGTTCTGCTTCCTGAAAAAAACAAAGGATCTCTTAGCATATAAATACAATTTCCCCAGCACTTTCCTGGGACAATGGCTGCTACTTTGTCACTCCAGTGGGTTACCAACACTTAGGTGACTTGAAAAATGAATCACGCAGCATCACACAGGGGCATGTTAAATCTACTGTTCTGAACTTTCCCGTGCTTGAATTGTAATTAGTTCAACAAATTGGATAAATTAATGTTTAATTAAAATACAACCTAATTATCCAATGTATGTTTTTAACAGGATCTAATTGTGTCATTTTGAATTATTTAAATTGCTGATACACTAAAAACAATCTGTAGGCTGGTAGTTAGACCACTGCCTGGTTGCATTTGTTAAAATTTAGGGCAGTTTTATATTTGTGTGTGCTTCTGATGTTAGTGTCTCCTCCTGCAGAAGAACAGAAATGTGCTGGTGACAGACACTCATCAAAGCCACTGAAGATTTTAATCAAGGCCTCCTTCCCTGGCTGAAGGCTAAATAGTCCTTCTGTGACTTTTTGGGGAGGAAGACTTCAGTGCCCCTCCTGAAGAGCCTACACTTCCCAAAGATCATGATACTGCTCAAAGCAATAGGTAAGTGCAAATGCCCATCAGAGATCTCGTCTGTGTTGGAGGTGCCTCCCTTATAGGTACCAATAGTTCATGTCCCAGAATGTTTTCAGAGATGATCCACAGGTCGCAGTGACTCACCTGTGAAGCTATGGCACAGTTTAGCCCCCTCAGCTAAGTACTCCCCCTTCTTTTTGCAGTGCAGCCACAGGTGGCACACAGGTGGGCTAACTCTCAAATGAGCATTTGGTCTGTCTTGCACCTTTCCTGGGTGTTGCTGAAGAGAAATCTGCCTGCATCCTCTACCAGGCTGAGCTACGATGGCATTTAGCAAAGTGGTAGGATGTGTTAGTGACTCCATACAACAAAGGAGGTGATACCGCAAACCATGGTGAACAAACAGTGGTTTTCCTTAGCCAGATCTTTACTCCTTGAGGGTAGATGAATGTGATTGCCTGTTGCACTGTAGTTAGTTGGCACTTCTGCTTTAAAAAATAGATAGGACTGTGTGTTGAGCCTAGGCAGCAGCCCTGGGATAGGCATGATGTGTGGACACAAGTACAGGCAGGGGCACAGAGAGCCCTTTTAATGAGAAGAGAGTAGAACGTTTGGCTTGTTCCTCCTAGCAGCCAAAGAGGTGAAGAAAGCTCTCCATCATGACATCAGGGAGTGCTTGTTCTGACTAAGGAGGGAGAGGAGCTAGTTAGGTTAGAGGAAAATATTGGCATACAAAAAGGGCCAGAAATAAACTAAGAATTAAAAGCAGGCTTCTAACAAGTGGAGTATTCCAGGTCTGGAACTGCACTTTCTGGTGATGCAGCGGTAACAGCAACCAAGAAGCTTACTGAGGACTCTGCCCTTGCATTCACGCAGGAATTTATGCTACAGGGGTACAGCGGGAGGGCCCGGCTCAGCCCTTCTGTCCTCAGCCTCCTGGCTGGCAGAGCTCGGGCACCAAGCCAGCCATCTGCACAGCAGCACCTCTGACCTCCCCGGCCACGTGTCCCAAAGTGTGGGAGGAACAAACATCTTGAAGCAAGAACACTTATTTTTGTGCTACGGTCCTTCCAAATCCAAGCAAAGCCATGAAAAATGTCACCATTTTGGAGGAAAGTAGGCAAGACCATGCCAAGTCAGTTCATCTCCCACACGTACGACTCCATGAAGACAAGGGATCATGAAGTCTGTGTGTTCCCAGCCCTGAGCCATCCCCAAATTCTATGAAGCAATATTTCATTTGCATTCTCAGAAGTATCCAGAATCAACCAGCTTGGCTAGCCCAAGCCTGACTGCATGCAGTCACATAAGTTTTATTTACCCACAACAGCACTTTCATGGACATTGACTATTATTGGAGCCACTCTCAGTCTGCTCCGGAGAGCAGCACGTTGAGGTAGTGTCCTGCTGAGCTGCCATTAGTTGGTGTAGTTGAGAAAACACTGGTGAGCAGCTTTAAGGGCTGAGGGCCTGCTTTGTGCTTGCACTGTCTGACTTTTTAAATGTTTTTCTTTGTCACTGCATTTCCAACTGTGCAGGCAGGAACTTCATGCTTTTTGCCTCAGCAAAATAAATTGTGCTGTTGGCCTTTTAAGCTCTCTGTTGTTAAAAGTGGACTCAGCTGAACCTGGCAGGCAGCAAGGTGATTGTTTTCTCAGTGTGAGTGTTTCTAAATAAATTGGCAGTATGGGCACAAACTTCTGGGCAGCTACCAGCCAAGACCAATTTGAGACTCCCAAAGGTTGGGACATATTTCCAGTTTAACAGTTAAAAGCTGGAACATCATCGGACAAAAGACAAGGACTATCCTCTCCTGGGCTTTATGCATCAGATGGGGACCTCTTGGTGGCACAGAGGCTCTCCCAGGCTCCCTGGGTGGCCCCAGCTCTCTGGTCAGACCCTGTGAGGGTGCAAGTGATGTTCAGGTACCTAGAGGCAGGATGGGAACCTGCATCTGTTGTCTCTGGCTTCTTCTCCTGTGTAAACTTTCTGTAGCTTTCATGGAGACAGCTGTATGCACTGCATGGCTTGACACACTCTGCATCCGCTTGCTGTTACTGAAGCTGCACTTGTGTGTCACGGCCATGCAGAGCTTGGAGAGGGGAGATCAACAGGTCCAAGGGCAGCTGGGAGGCTCCAATCCTTGTGAAGATCAGGTTTTGCACAAGAAAACTGGCAGAAAAGACTTGCTGTAGACTGCTGCAGCAGTTGGCACACAGGTGGATCAACAGGAGATCCAAAGCAGGACAGTACTAGGGAAGGTTGCACACTTAGAGCGGCACACATTCCCACAGGGCACTTAGCATCTCCAGTTTATCTGGCGTATGTTCCAGTGCAACCTTTCTTTCCAAATGTAGACAGATAAAGACTCTTCAGTGCTCTGAGCTTGAGCCTGTGCCTGGGTGGTGAAGGACTGATGTGTTTACATATTTTAGCTTGAAATATAGAGCTTCCTCTCCCAAGAACATCACGTTTCTCTCTGGTATGCATGTTTTCTCCACCACTACGTGAATTCCAATGAAGAATGTTTTGCTACACTTTGTTTTCAAATTGTAAAGATACCTAGCTAAGTGAATTCTATTGAAGTAAGGTGTTCCCTGGTTTGTAAAAAAAAAAACCCGATATTTATTGCTTTTTTTTTTTTTTTTCTCTAAATGAAAATGACTACTGCAGGTCCCTAGTGCTTTGGTGAGGTGGGATATCCAAGCACATCAGAGGTGTGACATGCCTTTACCACCTCCATTCACAGCTTCCCAGGTAAGGAAAGAAAAACCAGAGTTTGTGGATGATCCCTGATGACCATGGCTCAAATCCCCACACTGCAGCTGCAGGAACTTGGGGCGACCTTTCAGACCTTCCAGCAAAGACAGGGCAATGCAGCCTAACTCCCTCAGAGAAGGCAGAAGTGCTGTGCAGGCTCTCCTTGCTGTCGGAGATGAGTGCACACGCTGTCTGGGACCATGGCAGAGCTGCCACCATGCCTGTCCACGCTTAAGGATGCTCCCACACTCAGCTCTGTGGAGTGAGACCTGCTTAAACTCTGCGGTTGTTTTCTGGGCAGAGCCATCAGAAAAGGAGATGTCAAGGCCATGTTTAGGTTTTTTTAGTTAGCTTTCTTTTTTCTTTTTTAAATGTGTCTGGTGGTGTAACATTTGCTGCAATTGCATTTTATTTCATAAGGAGAGCAGTCCCGTGGTATCTCTGGGCGGGGATCTGGTACAGGAGGCAAGCAGCCTCGGATGGCAGGGAGGCGAATACTCAGTTTTGGTGCAAACCTTGCGGTGGCCGTCATTTTTCATCTGGTTGTTTTATCTCTCTGTACTCTGGGAAGAGAATCTTGACACAGACAGTTTGCAGAGCTGTTTCAGCTGTTCAGACAGCTCAGCCACAATATGTTGCCTCAAATTGTTTTGTTAAGCACATGCATCAGCTGTAGTTGTTTGCCTTGAAGCTATGAGAACCACAGACCCTCCTGAGAAAATTCAGCTACTACATAGACATAAAGAGCTTGACAGTGCTCTCAAATGTACTCTCCCACAAAAGGCAGTGAGCTGCAAACCTGCCATGGCCCATGAAGCTCTTTAGATTTTAGATTATATCATTAGTTAATGCATTCCCAGAGCCTCAACATCTGGAAGCTGAAGCCAGAAGGACTGTGCCGCTTTACATCCTTCCAAGATCTGGGTACTCCCTAGAGCTGCTGTGGCTCTGGAATGGGCGCCGAGACCTGCGGAGGCTCTGGGATGGGCACTGATACCCATGGTGGCTCAGGGATGCAGGAGCTGATGCCAGAGTGAGGCAGGAACATACAGCAGGGCACAGTCCCTGCTCAGCTGAGCCTCTGGTTTGAGCCAACGGGGTATTTCTGTGGGTGCTCAGTGGTGTGAGCATGGGAGGGAGGGCAGGGGCAGGGGCTGGTTTTGGCCGGCACATGCCGTGGGAGATGGCAGCTCTGGCCAGTGCAGCAGCACTGGGCCGTGCTCACGATGCCATGAGGCAGTTACCTGGCACTCAGCGTGGTGCTGAATGATGGATCGAAGGTGTGACACTTCTCCACTTAGCACAGAACTCATCTATCTTACAGTGAGAGACCCGTTTTCCTCTCTATTTAATTTTCATGCATTAAATACTGAATTCTAGAGGAAATGATGCTTCACCTGCTTTCCTCCTCCTCTGCGTCCAAGCACAGATGATGACACCCAGTGGCCATTGAGTTTCTAGCGCCTGTACAAGATGGAAAACTTCAGCAGAGATGCCTCAGCCAGTGAGATGCAACTTCTACCTTTTCATTTCCTCAAGTGCAAGAGGAAAAAAGAGCTCCTGAGAAGTGCCAGCCTTGCTTTATATCTCTCAGCCACTGGCTGTTTATAGTGGTTGAAACACTTCAAATTCCTGTATTCAGAGGCCAGTGAGAAAAATGAAAAATATGAGGATGGGTAATGAAGAAAGAGAATGTAAATTGGTTTTCAGATTATTCTCTTGTTGGCAGCTTGAAAATTCTCTCCTCAGTGAGAGAAGGAGGGTGATTTTGTGAGTTCAGAGACCTTGGCATTCGCCTTCCCTGTTTTGCTACTTCCCAAAAGCAGTTAGAATATGACAGACGCAAATTGATTTTGCATTTCCCTGCAGCATGCACAGGATCATGCTTTCATATGTTTGACAAGTATTGACATTCTCTAGGGGAAAAAAAAATGTAGGAAAGGTTGCTTTTTATTCTTCAACAAATGGCTCTAAGACTTTATCAGTCAAAGACAGAAAAAAGAGCCTAAACTCAAGGGTATGCAAACGAGTTCTCTTTGTTTGGCAAAGACATGCCTCACCAGACATATGGGGCTAAGATGGTAAAAACACTGGGGAACCCAGACATGAGCTGGGAACAATAAGAGCAGAGTATGCCAAAGGATGGATTTTGAAAGTGCTTTACTGAAAATATTAATTATGGACTACAGCAAATGAATTAAACCACTGTAATGCAAATACTGTGTGAAAGAAATACGTAATTAGTGTAATTCTATAAACACAGGAAAAAAGCATACTACTGTAATTCTAGCAAGGTTCAGGATGTTAGGAAGGACGAGCAGCTGGCCACCTATTAGGATTAAATTTTGCACATGCTGCAGATGTGATGCTATGAGAAAGCAGGTGGGGGTGTCTTGCTGCTGCTGCAGTGAGGACCCTCTGCAGGGGTAAATGTGGTAAGCGGGGAGCCCGGTGCCAGGGCCAAGCCCAGCTTCCCTTACATAAACACTCCTGTGAAGCTGCAGCATACAGATACCATAAGTAGATGTACTTAATTTATCACTCTGTTACTAGGCAGGTTTCTAGGCAGGCTTCAGCCTAACTTTTATATTTTGTAGTTACTGAAATAGCTCTGATCTTTTTCAGGGTGAGTTGTAGCTGCAGAGGTACAACATCCATTCCTTCACCAACTCTTACCTGTGCCCATTCTCTGTAATTCTTCTTCCCATCTCACTTATTTTCAGACAAAATCAGGCTAGAAACTTTAACCCAACTTAAACCCATCCAGCAGGTCAGGGTTGCCACGCCATTTGGCCCAGTCCAAATGTCTGTGCCCAGTGCTCCTTCGTGGTGAAGATGGTATCAGCTCTACCCAGGGCCACAGGGTGAGCTCTAGCTGACTGTCTCGCTTTTCCCCTGGGGGACGTTCACAATGCATTCACGTCTTTTGAGTAGACGTTTAAACTGTTTAAGAGGCTGGCAGAACATCAGAGGCCTACCAGGAGTTATTTCCAGTAAATGGCAAATCTAAGTGGGACTCCTTCCAATAATTTTCTCTAGTGCTTTTTCTGATGTTAACCATTGTTATTAGTGCAGTAATGCCCTGGTGGTAGTTCTGAAAACCCATAACCAAAATGCTACCCAGTTCTGGATGTGCCAAAGTCCTCTAGTTCCTGAAGGTACCTGAAAACCCTAGAATGAGCTTGGTTGAGCATCTCTCCTCATCCTGATCTTGCAGAGCAGGAGATCCAGGCTTGGTCCTCCCAGAGACTGCCCAGCCCTGATGGCCCATTGCTCTGCAGGGAGGTGCACACAGCCCAGCCTCCAGAGAAAGTCAGAGCAAAATATTTGTGCTGTGCTGGCCAGGGGCAGCCGTGGGTTGTGTGCTGCGCCCCTTGTTGCTGCAAAAATCCTGCTGGAGACCAGAGAGGGAAGGAAAGGGACTCTGCAGCTGGCAGGAGGGCAGCAAGCAAAGAGCTGATCTCTCCCATCGCACAGAGGATATGCTGTCCTGGGCCTCTTGCATCGGGCCTGTCGTATGGACCGTGCGCTCCCTTGAATCACTCTGATGAGCACGTTTTGGAGATGTCTGCAGGGCAGGTCTCCCTGAGCTGGGGCTGGGCCCTGCTTCTGGGCCAAGACAGCTTTATTCCCAATTCCTTCCCTCTCTTGTGGTTAATTTCCCCTTCTCTGTTAGATCAGTCAGTGGCTTGCAAGTCTAATTCCCTTCTCCAATTCTAATTTTTAATGCCCGTTGCATGCTTATGGGTATTTTTAAATGTAAAGCCATCCAATGCTGGCTTGCCAGAAGCCCCAGGAGACAGTAGAGGCAGAGGTTGTGTCTCATCAAAATAACATCCAGGAAACTTCATTTCTGCTCCAGTCTGTGCATAGACCACTTTTTTTCTGGTGCTTTTCTCCTTTGGTTGCTCCCCAAATAACATTGGCTTGTTGCCCATTTAGCAGTGGAAGCAGCTGATATTGAATAATTTTGCAGTTGGATGTGTAAGACAGCACTTGCTGTGTTGTTTTGTGCCTGATTGGATTAGCATGGCTCTTTACATAGCTGATTGACGCAAACTTGATTTTCTCTCTGAGCTTCCACTGTTCACTAGAAATTCCCATTTTGAATAAATGCTCATGCAAGAAAATACATTTTCTGGTTGCTCAGATGAAATGAAAGCACACTAAATCTCTGGGTCTGAGTTGGTTAGTTCTTTGACCAAAAAAACCAAAAATGGGCTTGGAGGACAGTGTCTCATCTAGTGCTGATTTTTAAAAATTATTATCATCATCACAGGGAATGATTCCTTAAAAATCAATCAGCAGTTTCATCAGCTGAATACACGGTGTTGAGAGACATCTTGGGTGCTTCATTGAATGCTGGTACCACTGCCAGCTTCCTAGAGAAGTTCCCACACTGGCTTTGCCAGAGTAACCTGCACTTCTCTGAAGTATCTGCCCTTTGCAGTAGCTGTGATCATGCCTTCTTACAGCAAAAGTTTCTCTCAAGGCCTCCCCACTTCAGCTTTGCAACAGATAAGGCATATCAGTTAATGAAATAAATAGCTTAAGTAGCTCACATTCAGCATTTAGATGCTCTCAGCAGGCTGAGTATTTGGGGACCAGGAAGACGTGGTGAGAGCAAGGTGGTGTACAGTGGCTAGATGCAGGTGTTTGTACCTAGCATTGTGTGTAAGGTGCTGCCTTTCAGTGTGTGTCGTGTTGACAGATTTCTGGAGTCCTTAAAAAAACCCAACAAACCCACAGAGCAGTGTGTTATCTTTATTCATGGCAGTTTCCACTGCCTCCTTTTTCTCCTTTGTCCTGTCAGAAACAGCTTGCACCAGAGTCAGTTTAATTTAACTCCTCCAATGTTTTCCTGGGCCCGTTGAGAACTTGAATTGCAACAGCCAGCCTTGCAAATGGCAGCAGGTAGGGAAGACCCACGTGGGCTATAGAAAGCTCAGGGCTTCTTGGCTGTCCTTCGGATTATGTTCTAAGAGCAATCCATCAAACACAAGCAGTACAGCAGTCGCAAGCAGAGTCAGCATCCCACTGATTCATGCAATGGCTTTCCTGCTGGGGATCTGAAATGGGCACAGACTTATTCCCAGCACTGAGAGACAGCTGGGGACATGCTACAGCATCCCCGTCACACATTGTCGCATCCCAGTGGCAATGTGGGAAGTATTTGCTTTCCACAGTTTTCTTGCTAGCACCTACACTTTGTTAAAATTTCACGAACCAAAACATTTGAAAAGCAGATACAAAACAAAGATGAAGGAGTGTGTGTCTCAGACTCCATGCACTTAACTACCAAATATGTATTAGTTCATCTCTGAGGACAACATGAAGGTATTTCTATGGCCACTTCTCCCTCATCAGTTATGCCTTAAAAGGCACATTCAAAAAGTTACCCACTTGCTTACACTATATGGCCATAAGAAAAAGATAATATTTATCAGTACCAGGGGATCAGTTCCCTCTAATTGATCCTTCAGACCTGAAGAAATGTCATCAGTACCAGTAATTTGGATACGGGCAAATGCATCCACCGCATCTGCTTTCCCCATGTGCCGTCACTGACGCGAATGCAAACAACTGGGATGGGAGAGCAGACAGCAAGGCCTTAGCCCATAAGAATGGTACTTCTTTAACACAACCAGCACAAATCTCTGCTGCCTGATTAGTTTGGGGCAAGATAATTACATTATTTATGCTGCTGCACATGCAAGTAACTTTGCTGCATTTAACAGAAGTGGTCTGGGCTCGTATGAGCCGGATTTGTGTCTCTGCTCTGAGTTTATGGGTGGTTGTGAGGCATTTCATATCAGAAACAGCCACACTTACTAGGTTATTTCCTGAAAATAAACTGTTGTTTGGTGTCCAATCTTAGACCATCTATTAATGTTTGGCTTTTAGTATTTAATACGTTGTTTCATTTATAACTAGTCTGAGACACCCACATAAAAGCACATTGCATGGACAGGCTGCCTTTGTGCTTACCTTTTCTTGCACTGGCCAATCAACATAAATATTATGAGGCTACTTGACAAACTCAGAATGACTGGAATGAGGATAAATAGCTGCTTGTCCTCTTTTCTGGACACTGCAAAGATAAATGACAGCAAATAACAAAACGCTAGTTTCCAGAATAGGTCATATTACCTCTTACAAAGCTTGGGATCAGATGCAGACTCAGTGCACTGAGGTTTGTTACCTTACATATATTTATTTATCTATTTCAGATATATGCCAGGTGTATGTTACTGTATAGGGTAACATACTCCTTCAAGATAACATATACCCTGCATATATATGTAGCCATGGCTATGTGGCTCTTCCTTGCCTTCTGCATCTTGCAGCAGAGCCAGCACACACAGAGACAGCCCTATAGAGCTTATGGGGTTCAAAGGAGCTGATCTGTGGTGTGGGGCAGCCAGGAGGATGCCCTGCAGAGAGACTCCAAGCACCATGTGCCCTCACTTGCAAAGCAGTCACTCCTCCACCACAGCTGTCCCTGTGCAGTGGGGAAAGGTGCTGGTGCAGAAGCGTCAGTATTTTGCAGCTTGCCCACTAAGTGCACTGGAGGTACAAAGCTGTAGGAATGGCTGTGCTGGAGTAGGTTGAGAGTGTAACTAAACCAGGATCCCACCTCCAGTGCTGGACACCAGCAGATGCCCATGGCAGCCATCAGTGCCTGGTCCCCAGCAGGCTTTATAAAGGATGTAAAAGAAATGCTGGTTACTTTGGGTCCCATACCAGAGAAACACTCCTGCGTCCATTCACTCCAAAAGCCCCGGTCAGCACAGAAAATATTTGTTCTCCCCCTGACACGAACACATGAAATGCGGCTTTGATTTGCTCTGGAAATTGTTAAAGTGGTTTCCATTTGAGTTGACATAGACTGAGAAACAAAACAGAGAGAACAAATGTCAAGAAATTATGGTCCACCACCAGTAGCTCTCTGTCACGGCCTAATGTTTCAGAATGTAAGTCTCTGTAAACTCTTGGATTATGCTTTGGCACTTTTAAATGTTTTCATAATAGTTTTGGACCAGCTAATGCCAGTAAGATTATTATGGAGATGAATCTACTGAAAATACATATATTCTGGTGAGCACCGTCATGTATGTTGCCATTTATGCCTGTTCACTTATGGAATCTTTCATTAAATTAAGTCAGAAGACTTGTGTCAAATGTTCCCTATGATTGACTCTTGCCATTTTTGCTATCAGACCTGCACCTGGATAACACACAAGGAAAAAGCACCATGCATAAAAGAACATGTTTTCCCCCAGGCCACTTGTTTGGAAAGATCAGAATTACAGTTTCGTTGGACCAAAAATTGCCACCATATTCAGGAAAACAAACCACAAGAACCTTTCAATTTCTGTGATGACAGCTTTCCGAGATAACAGGCTCAGAGACTCGCGCTGGGATCTGTTACTGCTAAAGCGCATGCTGCAGCTGGAGGTCAGGGTGTTAAGTAGGAACATGTGCAGTGGAGCAGCCGGGCAGCCTTTTCCCCCAGCACAAGCTAACATCTCCACACAGGGTAGCTGACATGCCACCCGCAGCTTGGTGCGAACCCCGCTTTTCTGGTATGCCTCCCCACTGCTGGCCATCAAGAAGGGTTCCCCCACCCCTTCCCCTCCCAGTGTGTGTTGTCCCTACCGCCCAGGCAGCCTTGGTTTCTCCCTGATCTTCTGCCAGCTGAACCTCATACTCCAGGCACTGGGGCGGCGTTTCACCACCTGGGGGGCTCCACGCCACGTGGAGCTCCTCAGACGCAGACATGGAAACCACCAGCTGCTTCGGGGGTGAGGGCTTGGCTTGTGGGGCGAACAAAAGGAGAGAAAGAAAATCAAGAGATGCAATCAAGCAGCTCCTAGTGGGAGAGGCTTCAGTTAATCACCACCAATCTCTTCCCCTTTTCCGTGCTGATGGGATTTCTGAGCTCCCACTGCTATCGGCCATGATGCTGCAGGAGCAGGGTGGCACTGAGGCTGGAGGGTTCTTAATCTTTAACTTGACACATGGGCTGGGCTAGGTCCTTGCTCTGAGCTGCAGTGCAGGGGTTTTGAAACACTGGGGTGTGAGCATTGTCCTCAGCACAGCCAGCGCTCCCTGTGCTGCGAGGGCTGCCTCAGCCCTGCAGTGAGAGCCCACAACAGTGTTGGCCTCATCCCAGGAGAGGCCCTGGTGTCAAGCACCCAAAGCCGCACATGAAGCAATAATTGAATCCAGGAATCTTGCTTATTAGCCCAGTGACTCAACTGAAGAACTATCCATTTATCCCCTGACATTTACACACTAGTAGATGCATCAGCATGGTAAGTGCCCGTAATAGTGAGTACATGGATCAGGTTATACATCATACTCTGCTTTGCTTCCTTTCCCTGTCTCTGATGGGTCTGAAAACCACCTTTGCTTTAGCAGACCCCATCACACATTGCACTCAATTCTCCCCAGCCCTTAGCTTGGTTTGAACAGCTAAGCCCAAAGATCTCTTCAGTGCTGGCAGGAGCAGAGCAGAGGTTTCAATTCCAGCAGGAGTAAATGAAGCCACCTCTGTGGTGGTGCTGCCAGAGCCAAAACCCCATAGTTGCTCAAGCCAAAAACCCCATAGCTGCTCTGCCACCTGCCTGGCAAACCCAAACTTTCCAGCTGCTGAGCACAGCACTTGGAGGCACCCACTGACCCTCCGGGGTGGGCGCCGAGTGGTGCTGCTCACCTGCAAACACTGCTGGGAACTAAAGCCCAGTGTGGCACATGTCACAGCCCCTTCTTCAGGGGAAAATCCACCCAGACACATTAGACACATTACAGCCACCCATTTACAAGAGCACACATTTGTTTGAACCCCCTTGTAACAAAGGTGAGCCATGCAGGTCCCCAGAGCCCTGCTGCTTTCCTGCGGGTGTTACCTAGGTTGTGAAGGCGAAGGGTGACGTACAACGGCCGTAGCAGAGTGGCTGCCACCGAACCGTTGACACAAATGCTCAGATCCTTATACTCTGCCTGGGTCAGATTTTGCAACATGCAGCCGATGTTTATACCATGATCCTGAATATAGTCATCACACTGCGCTGCGTGGCCCAGCCCCTCGTACCTAGGGGTGTATTAGGAAAACAGAAAGAAGAAAAAAAAAAAAAAAAAAAAAAAAAAAAAAACAAAACACAACAAAGCAATGGCAGTTACTACTTTGGTAAGGCCTTTTTTTTTAAAGATTTGACCTAAGCCTCGAGTATTGCCTATATCCTACCCACCCTTTCCCTTTTGCAAGTGATCCAAAGCACAGTGTTACGCACTGGTCACCTGGTCTCCTTCTATGGGAAATGTGTGGGGAGGAGGGAAAAACCAAATTAACATGCACAGATGGCTTCCCAGGTTGGTGTGTAGGCTTTGTCAGCCTATCCCCCAGTCCATTCCACAGGAGGCCTCACGAGGTGCCACTGTGTGAGTGGAGCCAGGGCAGGATCTGGCCCCTACTCAACACAGACACCCATCCTCCCATGGGGCACCATCAGTCGCCAGCTCCAGAGGTGCAGAGAGGTCCCCTCCCCAGCCAGAACGCAGGGGTTTGTGGCAGGTGACATGCCACGAATGTAATGAGTGTTAAGGGGCTGCTATGGCTGACTGCAGGTAGATCCCATGCATCTACACGGGCACGTAATGGAAACCCAGGGGGGAGTGAGGGAGGACTTTGGTGGTTATTAGCTCATGTGCAACCACAACACTGTCCTCTCCAACTGCCTCCTGTCTTTGGGGGCTGCTCCCCAAAGCTTAGCTGCTGGCCCCATTCTGGAAATACTAAGTAGTGTTTTGTATTACCTTCTGCACCTAATGAAAGTCTCCCTCCATAGCACATTACGTTTGGAGGAAAAATTTCATGTGACAGTGCTATAAAAATTAACTCCGGTATCAAAGGATGCCGTGGCTCTGTTCCCACCCGCTCTCATTACCCAATGGGACCCCGATCCAAATGCCTGGTTTTGTTACAGGCAGTAAAGTAAGGGTGGGTTTGTTGGGTTTTTTTGTGGTTCTTTATTTTTAGGAAAGAATCATGAAATTTCCATTATTTCTTTGGAGCAGATCTTTGTAATTAGCAAAATGGTTTTAAATCAGTGTTTCTGCTTTGAAGACTATTTCCAAGAGCTATACGGAAACTATTTTTAAAAAGCAGCTATGGTTTACTACATGTAGCCCAAAGGCATGAAAACCAATGATTTCCTGACTAGTCATCCTTACCATAGTGTCATGGGAATTGAAGCACAAATACAACATTTACTTTGTCAAAAAACACTGAAGTCTAGCTTTGTTTTTCTTGCAGAACAGAATCATTAGGCAGTAGTATAAAAGAAGCAATTGAGAAACATGCATTATTACTAACCTTTTGGCAGCATATTTGCTTGTATGAGACGTGCTAAGGCTATGAAAATATATTTGAAGGCTAAAACTGTTAGTCACCAAGAAGCCCTGCTCTTTGTATAGGGTTCACTGAGCTTGGTAACCTCCTGCTGAATCCTATCCTATAGATATATGCACTGTGATCAAGGGAGATGTGAAGCCAGAATGATCCAGGTGTGTCCAGCAAAGGGAAAGCATGAAGCTTCATGATGGACAACATGCAGAAAACACTCCACAGGAGTGAATAAAAGGGAAAGGATGGGAGAAGGTACTCCCTGTAGAAGGTCAGCACGAGCCTCATTTTAAGGAAGAAGTGATTTGGTATTTCCTTGCCAGAAGGCACATGCTGCATGGAGCGTTATTTCTGCTCAGTCTAGGTGGATCGTGTAATAGCACTGACAGTCATAAAAGCATATTTGCTGTGGCATTTTAGTACCCTGAGAGGTTCACTTGATTGCTGCCTGAATGTTTTTCTATTTTGCTGATACATACCAATAATATAGTCCATAATGTACACCGTGAGGAGCGAGAAGACCTGGTTGCCAAGTGCACTTGAGGTATTCCCAGTCATGATAGATGCAGTGGAAATTCTGAACCTCTGATTCCAGTTTTCCTGTCAAATGAGAAAGAAATAACCACTATTTTAGTAATGTAGCAGTCAGGCCTAGCAGAAATACCATTTTATGTCTCTGAACAATTGTGTGCTGCTGTTGAAAGACAAAAAATGAAAGAAAAGAAGGCCAGTCACCATTATTAGATAGTTTTGCTGCCAAGTGCTCTGTTTCCTACAAAAGCTTCACTGTACTTAGAGCAGAAAGATGCATAAATGACCTTTTCATTCAGCAGTGGAGCTCGTGCAGGGCAACCCAGCTCTGAGCAGAGGGAAATGAGCCCCAAGTATCCAGTAACCACAACCATAGCCAGTGGAAGCAGAGATGCCCTGGTGTCTTATATCTCAACAAGCCCTGCAATGGCTTCCAGCCAGCAACCCTCCAGCCAGCAGTGGTTCATGCAACAGTCTCATGCAAAGTGCAAAACTACACCAGGTACTAAAGGCTGCTCCTAACCTTGCAATGGGACCTGAAATGTGGCATAAATCCAGTCACTTTGCACCTCCACGTCGTCGGTACACCGTCCTTCAAGCAGTGTCTGTACCCTCACTTCAGCAGTCTTGCTGAGGTCAAATCCAACTCTGCATTTTAGCTTCCTAGTAAAAATAACCTGGTTCAAAGACAGACTTTATAAGCACCTCTTTTGTTGCTAAGTGGACTGCAGAATTAGCTATTATTGCTCTAGCTGTGAGTAATCTCATTTGCGTGCTCTAATGTTTCTTTACATTTCTGTCCTGCTTCTCCAGCCCATTGCTTCTCCAGCACTCTTGTACCACCTGCTCTGCCCAGCCTCGCTGGCTCCCAGTCCTTCCACCCCACAGGACACCAGCAATGGCACGGGACAGCAGACTTTGTCTCAAGGGATCTTCACCAGCCAGGAGCACCGGGGAGGCGCTGAGAAGGATACCACAGTAAATCCAGACAAAAGGCACTTGTTCATCAAGTGAGATAATCAGAAACACAAGAAACAACGAGTGGTTCCCATGGGAAGCACAACCACACCCTGCAAGGATGGAGCAGCAGCCAAGCAGCGCAGCGGGAGCTCACCATTGCATGCCATAGGCTTAGCCCTTGCAGGGCTTTTGAGCACCCTCTTTGAAGATTTTGCCTTTTTTTTTTTTTTCCTCAGACTTCCTCCCCCACAAGGGCAAAATAAATTGTCAAGAGTTACAACAAATAATGAGAGAGAGAAAGTGTCACGTTAGCCCAAGCAGGACAGAAGTAGCATGCTGTAAAATACACACATGTGCCTCAGCAGAAACTGCAATGCCACAGCCCACAGTCAGGCTTTTTGTCAGCAGTCCCGGAGTGTAAGAGCTGTGTTGAGACGTGTTTCTAACAGACATCCATGACTCTAGCTTCCGCTGATGTCCCATGAATGTTTTTCAGACTGACTCTTCATGACCTTATCTGGGGTCAAGGTTTTGGCAAGGTACCGGCGGTGATTTTTTCTACTTTTTAGATCTGCCTGTGTGAGACACTTTTATCTCTTGTGATTAAGGAATTCTGATGTGTTTTTTAAACTGAGGTTCTTTCTTCCTTTGTGCTTTTTAAATGCCAGTTAATCAGCACGGAAGAATCTGCACAGCTGCACGCTGCTCCATGGCTGGGAGTGTGACATGATCGATGTCAGGTCGAAGAGACCCTTTCCATGACCTCAAAATCGCAATCCATAGCTGAAATGGGGTGGGAGGCACTGGGCTCTCCAGGCTTCCATGGGATGGCTGCGCCAAAACCCGTCTGCAGGGTGGCTGGGCGCAGCCTGGCAGCCTTGGCTTTGCTGCCTGGGCAGATGAGCAGCTCATGCAGGACATGCAGAAACTGTTCACAGCAACAGGCTGGGGTCCACGGCACTGCAAACCCAATGTGACCACTCCTTCTCACTCTTACTGGTCTCTTGAGCTGGCAAGCTCTCTAGCACTCCTGCTTTAGGATTGTGAAAAAAAAAATCTCCCTGTCTTTCAGGACACCAATGTGTATTTTGGGTTTCTGGGGGACATCCTCAGCATATTTTTCATGTGTTCCTCAGTACCTTGCACCAACCAAACAGCCTATTGCTGAGCGTCTCTTCTCCCCACTCTATTTACCTTCCTAACTCTCCAGCAGCTTTCATCTTCTAAGCACGCCCAAAATATATTCGTATAACCCCTCCTGTACTGTCCCTGTCTGCTATTGCCCTGCAACAAGACTGACAATTTTCTACAGAGCTGAGTTAGAGTCAACTGTATCTAAAAGGCAAAAGTAAATGGTAATTAGAAACACCCTGCTGAATAAAAAGAATGTTAAAGCATTAGGATAATTAATGAAATTTAATCTTTTATTTATTCACCACTTTGCATCCCTAAGGATCTATTGACACTGAGTTTCAGTTCAAGCCCTGTGAAGACTTTCTAAACATCGTAGTGCCTTTTACAATGAGCACTGTTACTAGATATTATTGAATTATTTTTGGCAGCAAGCACCACACCCTCTGACAGAAATAGCCCCTTCTCTGGCTGCTGCTGCTGTTACATTTCGAAACACGTTCTCATTTGGCAAAATATTCAAACCACTGGAACAGTCTGGCTTTTTCATGGAAAGCTGGAACCGGGCGTTGGTACCACTCCTCTTTGAAATGCAAATATAAACCTATGCAGCAACTAAAGGCAGAACAACAGCCTGGATTGAAAAGGATTAAACCGTGCTTTGACTTACCTTCCAGTCTCTGTCACCAGTGTTGCGGTATTCAAACTTGTATTTTACAGTGCATTCATTGAACATTTGTACATTGGGTGGAGGTTTCCACTCGATATCGAGAGAACCTAAGAGTCCAGGATCAGTGATCCGAAGGTCTTGTGGGGGAGCAACTAAATTGAAAACAAAGCAGAGAGTAAAACAAAGTGTCGATGTAAAGTTAAAAAAAAAAAAAAAAAAAAAAAAAAAAAAAAAGTTGTTAAATTTGATGGGATGATAAATGCAGCTGCTGGATGTGGAGGGAAGCACTGCTGGTCCAGGTCCAGCCCTGGCTATTTAATAACCTGTTCTCAACAAACATGCACAAGCTTTACTCCTGCCCGCACCCCAAAAAACAGTTTTTGCTGATGCTCAGAGAAAACATTCAAGGACCATTGAAAAGGTACAAAGAACGCCACATCTTTGACACTCTTTTTCAAGATGTTTTAAGCAAAACTATTGTCCTAGGATGACCTTTCAAGGCCTCCTGATATTTACCCACTGTCAGGACAAGTATCCTTGCAAACATTGTGTTCAGCAGGTACACCAGCATAGGATGACAGATCACAGCGTGCTGTCAGGGAAATTTATATTTCTTAACTGTAACAGACACAAATCACCCACATTGCTTTAAATATTCCTTTCAAGTATATTAAAGATTAATGAAAAAAACAAGACAAAAAAACCACACAGAAGCAGAAAAGCAGAGAGTTCAAAATCATTCTTATTTTGGACATCTATCAGCTTTATAAAAATGTGCTTTTACAGTCAATCTGGCTTTTATTAAGCTATTGTAAGGTGCTGCCATATGTTAATAAATCAGGATATATTATGGATTAATTCTGTACTAAGACAGGCTTCCTAAAAGCCCAGCTCTGTATGGAGCTGTCGTTCACATGATGAAAGCTGTTTGGCTGTTCAGTTTCATTAGTTCAAATGAAGTCAATTTTTGTGACTTCTGAGGTCATTGTTCTCCACTGTCTAGAGGTGAGGTTATCCATTTGGTTTTCATATTCACTGGATAATACACTTTTTTCAACGTGATTTGGAGCCCATCTCCTGGCAGTGTCTGCACAGCATTGCCACCACTTCTGTGTTTTGAGTCTGGCCTCCAGGTCACTGGCTTCTCTGCCACGTTTTTCATGTCTTCATCAGGATTTACACCATTTTTTTGGTTTTGGTTGGGTTTTTTGGGGTTTTTTTTAATAATGAAAACAGACACTGGGAATATCTTTCAGTAAAGACAATGATATAAATCAAAATTTAATGTGCTCCTTGGAAAGTTTTCAGAGAACATCATTAGAGGATTTTTTTTCTTCTAAGGAAAACTCCCAAATGAAACACACCACAGGCAGCAGTCTTAAGATCCCACTTTTTCCATCATGTAAAGCTCCATGGGGGATTTGTTGTTACATTAAATGGCAAAGTAGGATATCATAGCAATGTATTTAGGAAGATGCTTGGGAAGAAACAATAGATTATAATAATTTGGACAAAAATTAGACTTTTTTTTCTGTTTAACAAGTAAAACACTCTCCCTCCCACCAGCTTTGAGTCCCATGAATGCAGCCTGGGTTCGGAGGGTGGTGGTGAGCTTGCTCCAGCTCCAGGGGCAATGAGGCCTGGCCCTGCATGTGCAATATCTTGTGTTCAGCAGCCCCCTGTTCTGAGGAGGCAAGGGTCCGATATCGCTATGCTATGACAGACACAGATTTCCCAGCACGGGCAGAGGAGGGGGAATAGGGGCACGGGCAGCTCCGCCTGTGCAGAGTGCTCAAGCTGGGCTCTTGGTGAGCATCAGAGGTAGGAGCTGGGGTGAGGTGAGGGCATCTCACCCACCTCCTGGGTCTTCACAAACGTACAAAGGGTCCCGGAAAGGGAGAAGCAGCACAGGGGACAGCAAGTCTGCAGGAATGGCACTTGAAGAGCTGCAGCTGCTAAAAAATGATGGAGTGGCTTCCACATCCAGGGCCGGTGCGAGGGAGAGCTTCCACATCCCCACTGCGCCACGGCCTAGAGCTGAACACTGTTACGGTGGCTGCCATGTGCAGTTCCCATCGCAGGCTGGCCGGGGAGATCTGCTGGCAGCGTGGCGAGCTGGGCTCTCCTGTGCTCTGGAAGCTCCTCCTGAGTGGATAAATGCTGAGCCTCTCAGCTACGCAAACAAGGAAGCAAAAAGCTACTAGGCTATGTTGTGAGCCTGGTGATAAGCTGTCAAGAGAGGATTAGATTGGTCAAGAATGGAATTTCTGACTGGAAATGATAACGCTCTGAACTGTGTTTACATCCTGAACTTGAACAAAACAGTAATATTTTTTTCAAAACAATTGCAACTGTAAACAGCAATTTTTGCAAAATAAATTTTGGCTGGATTTCAGAAGAACTGGAAAAGCTTCTTTTTGGGATGGGGCTTACGTTCTGGGATTTGATTGTTTTTTTAAAATGTCCACACTGCCTCTTGCAGTTTCTCATTTTCATAATATTACATGACAAACCAGTCTCACACAGAACACAGGGCTAGAAATAGTCTTATTTCATTATCCAAACTTGAAGGAAAGCCTCTCCTGAATGTTTCTTGGAAAAAAAAAAAAACCAAACCAACAAGTTCTCTACCTGATCTGCATGGTGATGAGTCAGGTAGCAATGTGCTGGCTAGGCGGCCACAGCCCTCAGGGCCACCCACCATGCACGCTCACTAAAACATCACAGTTTTGATGATGAACCAGCTGCTTATTCCCAGCTGCCTCCCACTGCCTTACCCTACGCCATGCGTGGTGCAAGCAGCAAGAGGTTTTGCAATTTTCTGCCTATTTTGACAATGGAAAAATGGCAGCCTGCCAGGTGCCCCCCCCCCCCCCCCC